TGATCTACTCTTCTTCACAACCTCTGTAGGAAGAATTTTATAGACTTGCAAATCAGTTCGATGGACCAATTGGTACGGCTGAATGTGTTAGAATGTTTCGCACATGTATAGTTAACTGCACGCTACCACTCATATTTGACACGTGCACACCCGACAACTTATTAGGCTACTTGGTGGTCAATTCTCGCCAAGTGTTAATTGGTCTCTCGTTAAACTGAGACCTGAGAGCCTAGTTTAAATAAAACGTTGACATGGCGGTTATCACTTCAATGCTGTGACCTTCATTCAATGTGTTTTTCAATATATTTTTCCAGTTGCCAATCGTTTCATTGTATTCAAAACCTTAATATTGTTGATTTTTTAGGAGAATTAGTATTCGATAATTGTAATATGTCCTCGGCTGTATATCCCGAGATTCTTCGCTTGTACTGTCATGCTGGAAATGCATGCACGTTCACATGAATGTATATGCATATCCAGTATGGTAGTGCAGAGGCAATAATCTCGGCGATATACCGCCGAGGTTTTTTTTAAAATAAATAGTTAGAGGCGGCCATGTAAGTTCCGCCGGAGTTTCATGCACGTTGCGCCTATGATAGAAGCGCTGCCGCGCGCGGTCAGTCTATGAAACGCGCCGCGGCCGCGTGCCGTTTAAGAGCGAACCGTCGCGCATAAAAAAATGGACATTTCGTCGATGATGCGGAGATGTTACTCGGGCGCCCCAACCGAGCGTCTCTACCTTAATCTACGTAAACACGCCGGCGATACGCCTTTTATTTTTGACTGGGTAGTACGGCTTAGATACAGTAAATTAAAGTTACAGTTATTTTATGTTTTATATACCTTCCCTACTTCGATGTCAACTTTAATCTACCAATTTCAAAAATTATCCACATATACATATAAAAAATCGGTCTTTTATATGTATATATATGTGGATTACATTTGAGATTGGCAGATTAAAGTAAACATCCATGTAGGGAAGGTGAAACATAAAAATAACTGTAAGCAAACTAATACATGAAAAAATACCTGTAAGTGGTAAGTGGTAACAACTGAACAAGTAACAGGCTGAGATTGACAATATTACACCGAAATCTTTTTACAGTTTTATTCTGTAATTTATATCTTGTATGTATCATGCTGGTTTTTAAATAATATTTAATACTATTAAGTAAAATCTAAAGGCTTTATCTATAAATGTAGCGGTAGCGCTAGAGCGGCAAAACCTCGTATCGCTACTTAGATATGTAGCGGGCGCTACCGCTACCGCTACATTGCCTTAAATGTAGCTCCGCTACCGCTACCGCTACTGAAATAGCGGTAAGGCCGCTACACTGTACGCTGTAGCGCTACTGCTGCTGATAGGCCGCTACATGTAGCGCGCTACTGCCCATCTTTGCCTACATCTTTTCATACCTCTGTGGCTATATCATCATTCCTCTTGCATCTTATTGTTTTTTTTCGATGGGTGCATTATTTTTAGCCAGCGTAATTTCTGAAGTATTGTTCTTCTCATCAAAACGAGTGTATCGTTTTAATATCTTTTTATCTGGAACAAGTGCCTCTATTACTGCAGGCGTGTTGTTGCATTCATTGCTCCGCTCTCAAGAGCTTATTATGCGAGTATTACTCGCATTAGAAAATCCTTTTTTTACCTGTTTTTGATCAAATTCTTGTCTTGCTTATTGTAGACATTACAAATTTCATTGATTAAAGTTAATGTGAACCACAATAAAGAAGAAAGCTCGCTTCTCAAAGCAGGTGCATGGAAGTAACAAGCAATAATTGCAATGCTTCCTACAGAACCCTTCACACGCGCGAATGCCGCCCAAGCGCTTTTCGATCCCCTGAATTTCCATAAATTTGCCAACGCCTTCAAGATGTCGGACGCGATAGTCGGCGAAGTGTGCAGCGGCAGCCGCAGCCTGGAGGAGTTCCTGGAGCAGTGCGATGCCTACGCGGCGATGGCGCCTGAGCGTCCGCATCTCTATGACCTCAGGTAAATGCCCTCCCAATAATGTGCACAATCATCATGGATGATCTTATAACTCAATTAATGCATTCTAAAATTGAAAAGATCGGGGACATGAATGATGATGAGGAATATTTGTGGTGAACTTCATCACACTTACTGCAAAACACGATGAATTAAGACGAAACTTTTGAAATGCTAGTTATGAGAATGGGCGAAGTAACTATTGTTATTATTGCGTAGAATCGTTAAGGCGGCAGGTCACTGACGTCATTTATAACACATCGGAAATCCGAAATATGGATGCAGGAAACTGCAGTCCTTGGTTACAGACTATGATATTGGTTTGTCTTAGAACAGATTTGTCTAGTTTATAATTGGGTGTTGTGAAGAGAGCGTGCAAGCGCCTACCTGCTGATACCTTCACCAGCTTTGCATCACCAAGGGCACGATCTTTGCTTTTGGTATATCTTTAATATACCAAAAGGTATATAAAATAGAAAAAAGATATAAAAAAGGTATATCTGGATCTTTTGCTTTGGTCTTATTTAGGAAGAAATTATAAATTTATTTCATGTCATTTCGCAATTATGCTCATTCTTCTCCAGACATCTTCGTAATAATTGACTCAAGGTGGATAACACGACTGTGTCTTCAACGATACCAAACCTTGCGGTCAAAAACTCTTGGTGGGCAGAGCGACCTCTTGCAGCCCGTCAACCCGAACCTGCGGCCGTCCGTCGGCCGACATCACGCCGCAGCACAACGCTGCCCCTCATAAGCCTCTTATATCAACAGGAGCTCAAAACTTGCGGCCACATCAGCCTCTTACGCGTGGCTAATTTTGCCCTATAGATGATCGCTAATTTTCTATCTTGGAATGATCATTGGTTTATGGAAATCAATTTGGTATCACCGCTATGTTAGTTTCACTTTTGAATTGCTATTTCAACCAATTCTAATAAAGTAATTATTGTATGGAGCTCTAGTAATCCATGAGGGCAATAGAATTATGGTATTTCTATTGTCATCAGGACTAAATAATCTATATAGATTACACAGAGGTGGCGAATAAAATTTGCATATTATGTTCATCAAGTGTCAATTATGAAGTTAGATTCAAGTTATAGTTTTTTAGGTGCCGATATACAGCATTTCCTGTTTCTTCTCAGATAGCTTTGGTCACGACTCCGGGATAGCGGCGAAAGTGTCTATATAGTTGCCGTTTTTATGCAGGGAATGAAGGAGGCGTCGTGAATTTTTAAGCGATTTAAAAAATGTAAATGGGTTACAATATCGAATTTGGCTCAACTAGTTTTGCTTAGGTAGTGACTGCCCTCACTCGTGTGTAAATATGTAGATTTACTGCCCTCACTGGCAGTAAATATGTAAATATGTGCCTAACTTTAATAAATCCCACTGCAGCAACCGCTTTTTTGATTAGCTAAAGTGACTAAATAATGGTGAGAAAATTTGTAATTGGCAGTGCAACCATGTTCATGATTGAAAAACCGGAACATGCATCGGAACATAGCCTTACAAAACACAACGCTAACATTACAAACACGATACTAACGTTACATAACACGAAGCTAAATGTTCCTGAAATATTCCTGAAATCAATGTTTCAGAAATTTTCGTGAAATATTGCTGTTCCCTAGCATGTTCCTGAAATTTCGTCGCTTATGTGATTTAGGAAATTCGCTAAAAAAATTTTATTAAAATTTAAATTTCCTTCTCAATGGCGCGATTTTGTAATTAATTAGAAATATTTTCGAGATGAGGTCTTCATGAGAATCAGTACATTGATGAATAAAAGACCTACCGTGGAGGGGCAACAAGTAAATAATAATAATTATTATTAATACCTAATGATTATTATTTATCAATAATGATAAATTGATATGAATATGATGTGCTTATACATAGGTAATGACAATTCGGTAAAAAGATCAGAAAAACAATAAAATGACGATACAACTATAAATAACTGGAGCATAAATGAATATGAAATATATTTGCGATTAATTTATATATTCATATGTACTGAAGTCGGGGAGAATTTAGGAAAGCTTTTACTTGCATATTTTTAGAACTGCTTGTTATGAGATTGGATAGAATAACAAATAAAGAATTCATGTCACTCATTAGCGTAAATTGCAAGTTTACTAAAATTTAAAATCAAAGAATAGTCTACAAAAATTCATATCTTTATAGAAAACGTTTCGGAGTCCAGCTCCATCGTCAGTTCGTAGAATCTAGAATTCACAAATTAATGCAATTGAAAGCACAGAATGCAATTAAAAATTATTAAAATTAAATTTTTGTGCAATTAAACAGAGCACAAAAAAACAATCATCTATTCACAATTTCAAGAGGAAAGGAGCTAACAGCTGAATTCAAAGTGGGCCCAAGTTTTAAAATGTACAAGGATTCTAAAATACGAAAATCTGAAGTACCAAAGTTGAAAAATAACACCCTAAAGTCACTGTTAGAAACAGGGACATCACACTGCTCGGCGTGAGTGCGCACAGCCGAATGAGGGGGCGCGATAGCAACTGTCCGGTCCTACAACTCCTGCCCTTATGCTCAGCGACCCTGGAATAAAGATTGCGTGACAACAATATTTATAAACCAGGGACGATCGCATATGAACAGGCAGCATATATTTATATCTAAAGAAAGAATCGATTTTGAAATTATTTATCAGCACAATATGAAGTTTGACATTTGGGAAGTATCTATCGACAAGACTTTTAATTCTCTTGACATGGCTTCGGACGCAGGGCCGAAGTATGGTAAATAATAATAAATGACGTTCCTATGCTATCGCGCTCGGGAGCAACTTCATTGTATCGCTTCGACATGAATTTCTTGATTTGGCTAAACACCAAACTTGCCGGAAATCCATTAAGCGAGAAAATATTGCGTAAAAATGTTCCGTGTTTGTTCGCATTTGTTGTTCCGTTGTGTTCGCCACGCGGTAGCTGAGCACCGCCGCCAACAGCACCACCGCCAGCGGCGCGTCGGTTCATTCCCCGAGAATTTGTCAGACGCTGGATTCTAACGGGCCCAAGCCCGTCACACATTACATGACGTGCTCGTACCTGAGGCCTAATGTGCTCAAGCCCGTCACCCACGCACGACGAGCCCATGAGACATAATGGGCTCAAGCCCGTCACCCATGTCGCACGATATGACGAGTCCGTTTCACTCATCACGTCATCCAGGGATGATGGGGCTCGATGGAACTTAAGTGTCCCTTGATTAACACGTTGACTCCCAAATAGTACATATATGCGTACCACGAAATGTATTTCTCCAGGGCGTTGTGGTACATAATTCAGGATTGCCAGATGGCATAAAAAAACACCAAGTCCGCGAGCATAAAAGGCCAAAAAGGGCCTGCAATTCAATATATACCAGTATTTTTGCAGGTTCCGAAGTAAAAATTTCATTTTTTTTTATTTAATTAGGAAGTACCCCTATCATAAAATTTAACCGGCCAACACAATTGAAAGAAAAATAAATCAAGGAATTTGTTCGGGAAAAAAGACCGTCCGGAGACTCTGTTTCATTCTAATACAAAAATGAAATAATAGTACAAGATGAAGCAGTTGGAGGCAACATGTTAATTTAGTTTTATGTCACTAGTAATGACTTGTAATTACACTAACGACAAAAATGGGAGTCGAGTCTAGCTCCATCATAGCAGTCGTTCTCCGTTTACTTGTCCAAAGGGAGTTCCTGAAAAATGAACAAAACCCCAGCTAACTGTGAAGACTGATTCAAGGCGAGGGCGAGCTCAAGGAACCTTCTTTGATGTCGAAGAAACGTCTGAAACTTTGTCGGCGATGCCAAAAGCTATATTTCCATTTTAAATTCCTTCAAATTTTATTTCATTCGTCACAGAAAATATTAGGAGAGAAGAAATAGTAACGGAAATGCGCTTTCAGATCATTTTCACGACCGAAATCAAATTAGGTACATTTTGAAAAATATACCCGTATGGCTTTGTTAAACGTTGGAAATGTTATTACTTTGTCGAATCCGAACCTGATGGACAACAGGGTCACCCAAGCCTTTCGTTAATATCAAAAATGACGAAAAACTATCTGTGAGCTAAATATCGAAGAAAAAATTAGTAACAAGATATGGCAGTGGTATGCCAATATTTATATAGTCCTATATAGTACTGAGAGTCGGAGCAAATAATGCATGTCTGTTGCCCAATTAATTTTGTCAAGAAATAGCTCACGGACTCACGATATAATCTTATAATTTTTTGGACAAATAATCCAGTGTACTGTGATCTTGAACCTGCAGGTTAAGCCTATGGTGACGGTAACGCACAATGGCCAGTCATATAGTGAACGTTCGTGACGTCATAAACCCACGTTTCTTCGGATGGCGCGGATCTTACCGCTGTAGTCCCTAGTTGTGTCCCAATTAGGTTACACTACAGGCAACGTGCCTGTTCTTTCAACCTAAAGGCTATGCTATTCCAATAGATACGTGGTTTTTGCTGGAAGGAGTTGGTTATCTCCCTCAAGAGCAGAGTCACATTACCGTAATAACGCCCTATGCGGCGAGTGGCGGAAGGTAACGGAGCACAGGCCTTATTGTACAGTGAAGTAATATTGCTCACATTTCTGTCTTTACCGATACATCGCAGCAGCTTAGAGCGCTGGGTACAGGCAGAATTCCGGCATGCGTAGTTATTGTTGACGAGCTGATCTTTCGAGGGGGCTGTAACCTGGCTGAGCAATGCTACTTAGCAGACTGCTCTCCAGTGCAGTCACCCCACGCCGTCTTGTACAGCGTTCTCTATAGGGTCAATAATGTTCCCACGCCTAACTAAGTAGCACATTCTGGCTGTCAAGTGTGGGTATCGTAGACCATCTCACTGAGAAACGTGGTGCGCATGGTGAAATATCGTTGAACGTTGGGTTACGAACATTTAGCCAGAGGCCTGGTCGAGCACGACACCCCTGGCGACGGAATAGTCTTTAATTAACATTCGTCTAAATCCAGGATATCGAGTATTCGATTGCAACTCGACTTTTTGGTAACTAGAGGGAGATCATTGATTGTTGCCAGTGCCATTACACAGGGGCTCGATTGACAAAGTCATGAACAGTGAACTGGATCCCTTGCAACTTGCAAGTAAGTTTCGTTGATCCACACGCAAGACGAAGCAGCAAGGGATACGGGAGACCTAAACCTATCGGTAACGCGCTCTGTTAATAGCACCACAACTAAAATTGGCCGACTAATCAAATGCAGAGTTAGTACCACTCGTGCAATGTAGCAAGTAACCTTCGAAAGACGTCAATCTGTAAGAGCTGAAGTGACACCGGTTATCTCGCTTATGATAGCCTGTCCCAGCTGGGAAATATTCACATGCACAGTTTCAATAAAACGCACCGCAAAGATCCCAGCAACCAAAGATCCCAGCAACCAAAGATCCCAGCAACCAAAGATCCCAGCAACCAAAGATCCCAGCAACCAAAGATCCCAGCAACCAAAGATCCCAGCAACCAAAGATCCCAGCAACCAAAGATCCCAGCAACCAAAGATCCCAGCAACCAAAGATCCCAGCAACCAAAGATCCCAGCAACCAAAGATCCCAGCAACCAAAGATCCCAGCAACCAAAGATCCCAGCAACCAAAGATCCCAGCAACCAAAGATCCCAGCAACCAAAGATCCCAGCAACCAAAGATCCCAGCAACCAAAGATCCCAGCAACCAAAGATCCCAGCAACCAAAGATCCCAGCAACCAAAGATCCCAGCAACCAAAGATCCCAGCAACCAAAGATCCCAGCAACCAAAGATCCCAGCAACCAAAGATCCCAGCAACCAAAGATCCCAGCAACCAAAGATCCCAGCAACCAAAGATCCCAGCAACCAAAGATCCCAGCAACCAAAGATCCCAGCAACCAAAGATCCCAGCAACCAAAGATCCCAGCAACCAAAGATCAAAGTAACCAAAGATACCCCACCAAAGATCCCAGCAGGTAGCGGAGAAGAAGGGTATTGGGTAGCAAAATCGATCGCGCCTCCTGATCGATATATATTAGACAGATACAGTCAACCTTGTCGAGTAATTCACCAGATCTGTGTCTTTCGTTTGCTGACACTTAGCCGCTCTGGCTTCTCGGAAAGCCTGGGCCTTCAATTCGATATAATTGGCTATTCGTCAAAACGGTATTATAGGTACAAAACACGATCGGCGTCCTGCTTCGGTATGTGTTCGACCAACTACAGAGCGTGGCGATCAGCATGTTCTATGCTGCCACGAGTCCCATTCTACTCTTCATAACCCAGAACTTAATTTAGTCACTTGCATAGCTTTATAAAACACCGAAGTTTAATAATCGCCCTTGAAATGACTGGGTGGCTAAAAACGAGACTAGCATTGTTGCACATGAACGACAGGTTCATCATTGCGTTAACAGCTAGACACGTCGTCTGAAATCGCAGCCATCGACTGCATCACCCTTCCAATATCGCATCACCCTTCCAATAAAGTGGCGGAAATTGCCTTGCCAGTAAAACTATATTTAGTTGTTGAGAGTGAAACTCTTAGAATACCATGATTTCTATTATGTAGAAGAAAAATTATAAGTTTATAACTTACATTGTCTGCGCTTCTACAAGAAGGCAAGAAAAGACTTCTACAGCCTTGTGCCCGATCAGCGAACTGCAAATTTGGCACAAACTTGCGTCACAATCCAAAGTATTTGCTCAATTTATTGTTCATTCATGGGGTGCTGCTGAAGGCACCTGCAGCACCTCCTGTATGCTAATATTTCTCCAATTCTCTCGAATCGTTATTGTGGCACAGCCTTTTACCACGCTAAAGGCAATGATGTCAGGAATGGAGCTACGTTCTTTGGGTTACGCGAGGTTGAACGGGCAGACGTAATGGAAGGAATATTTTGGTCCGCTTTATATTGTCTTTCATTACATTTAGGTTGATTTTAATGTCTGTAGGTGCCCTCAAGCAAATAGTTTTCTTTTTGTTTTATGTTGCTCCAACATACCTGTGGTGCGATAACTATTAGAAACCAAGCGCCGGGTGACAACATGGCCGGTGACAGGTATAATCCCGAGACTCGTTATAACGTTTCAGAAATGAGCTAATTTTGGACCTTACTGGAAAATGGAGGTGGAGGTAAGGTCCAAACACGGAATAATGGACGGTGGAGCAAAACAACAAACGCCTGCATTGACGAAGCTCATATTTTGTTAAAATAAAAACACGGAACGTTTGATTTGTCCATTGAATCATAACTCAATTGCATACACTATATGTGCACACAAATATATGCATGAAAAATAAATTTATATTGAGATAGTATTGTAGCAATTATTCGGCAATAATTACTGCACTGATTCTACTGTTCACTGGCACCGATTCTACACGAAGCATTGGATCGTGCTGAGATTGCCTAATGTTACTGTTTTCAATCGAGCAGAGGCGAGAATACCTCGGCTAAAACTGGCCTCCTCAGTCAGTACATCTGATGCTAGTCAAAATCCACGTGCAGATGTAATGCTACGCTATAGTCTTCGCCTGTACAGCAGACAATACGGCATGGCGCAGGCACCCGATGTAACACGGTAGTGTAGAGTACTTTAGCTGATCGTCTCATCGTCGCAATAGTACCAAGTACTGCCATCGTCGCAGTAGTACCAAGTACTGCCATCGTCGCAGTAGTACCAAGTACTGTCATCGTCGCAATAGTACCAAGTACTACCATCGTCGCAATAGTACCAAGTACCGTCCGTACCACGTACCCCCGCTGTGTAGTGGCCATGGTCCGCGCATGGTGCCGCTGTGGCAGTCGACTATCAGCAGCTCGTATGTGGCGGTGCCCTCGCCCACCCATCGCTCAACGCCTCTGCAACGAGACAAACACTCGTCATTGTTTTATCATTACCTGGCTTTACTGAATATCCATCATTATATTATCATTACTAGACTGTACGGAATATTTAGCAATACGTGATCAGAGCGCACTACCACAGATCTTTTGAGTATATTTTTCGCTCCATACTGACCCGAGACGTTCATGTTGCAACTTAAACATAGTATAAAAAAACTTAAGAAGCATGGAAAAGGAGTTTGCTGGGTCGTCTTGTGTACTCGAGAATTAGACTATGTAACGGAAGTTTCCTGATCAAATTATTCAATTTTAGCAGGCAACACAACTTTGGCACAATATTGTTCTTAGATTGGCTGTTGATCTATTGATAAATACTCACCAGCTTGGGTTATCAGTTCTTCTTCAACGTTTTTGTCTTGCCATAACTTTTGTACCGTGCCATAGGGTTACGGTATAAATATTCAAAGCAATCAATAGAAGAGATGGGGCGGCCACAATCTTGGTTATTGCGCTGCTGCCATCGCTCATGAAGCGAGGCTGGCTGCTCCGAACAAGAGCCTCGACAACAGAGAAGCATCCATCAAGAGGCAAGGGCAGACAAAGGAATTTGTCTACCGCCATCTTGATGCCGCCATCTTGATGCCGCCATCGCTGCCCCGAAATAATTTTCACTCCTCCATGCGATGGCGGATTTCATCTTGCGCTCCCGATTGCATCATCTGCCGCGCTAGATTTTTTCAACTAGTTTAATTCCGTTATTTAATTTAGTTAACCATTACTTTGAGCTATTGACGTTACGAGTTAAGCCCATCGCTACTAAGTTTCATTTAACAGGCAGCCATCAAAATCTCAACATGTCCATTGAATGACTACAGCCCTCTAGCTAATGTGCTCATTTGAAGCCGAAATTTCGGTTTGTCTTGCGTTAAAACAGGCCAATTTTTCCTTTCACTATTTAGTTTTGTAAGATAATTTCGAGGGTAAATAATTTTCTTAAGATTTTATCCAATTATTCTCAGCAACATTATACATACAGCTATCGTCTTTTAATTTAAAATGACTTCGGGCATTTGCATGGCACTGAAAGTTTATCAAACTTATACCCAACAATGAGGACCGATGTATGAAATATGAACTTAAAATTTATTTAAAATGTTGACTCCGCGGTTAATTATTCAGAATGCAATAACTGTACGGAAATGTGCAGTACTTAAGCCCGAGCCTCGAACAAGTTACAACGTCAGGTCCTCTACGGGAGTTGCGGTATCCACACTCCCGAGGTGGGCTCCCAACAACACACAAATAAACGTTCACAAATATATAATAGATTATGATTACTTTCACTCACCTTTGCTTTGTTAAGTCTTGCCTAATTTGGTTGATGTCGTAAGTGAACGTTATGTGATCAGGGTACTCGTGATGTTGGATTTGGGGCTGTGAACGAGATGGTGACTGTAAAAACGGAATAATTCTACAAGAAACGACTTACCTCAAACAAAATTATGATAAAGTAGCAATACTTTAATGCTGGCAAGTTCATTGCTTCTCCGCATCGGCCACACTTAATGACACTCGGCGACAATTAATTACCATCAATCAAGTCACAGGATAAGAGGCAAATGCGTGGTGACTCATCACACAAACAGAAGAAGAAAACGATCATCTAAATGCTAACTATCCATTTGAAACAAGATGACAAAAGAGTTAACATTGGCGAGATAATCCGCGACGTGATAAACAGATGAACGAACATCTGCCATGTCCAGGCAAAATGATATGGCGCTGAGCAGACTTACAATATATGAATTGTCTTTGAGAAGATTCTGACGGACCTGTTTGTGTCTTGAATGAAGTGCAGATCTTAACTGAAGACGTAAGGGCTCCTGCTACTGCTTTTGAAACTTATTATCCCAGAGTCAGACACGCCTTCTCCCAAAAATGGTCTCCCAACCCACACCCCATCAGGGCCATCACCTACGACTTGAAGACAGCCACTCCTACAGCTAGGAGATGTGGTTTGCTCCGATTTAGCCGTATACAGACAGAAACGGTGCTCGAGGCTGACGGTAGGCGGGCAGAGTTTAATAGATTCAACATTTAATAATGAACGAGAACTTTCGGTTGGTGGTTCATTTCAATTGTTATTTTGCCTGGAGGTTGGCCGACTCGTGGATGCTCCAGTTACTTCGGTGACGTCCATGACCTTCACTGTTTCCTCTGAGAACATCTCTCGTTAACATGGATTGCTCGGAAATCCCACGAACATAAAAGGACAATAAATGTTATTGGAAAACCAACGGTTAATTCCTGGAATCGCATAAAGAATCGAGCGATTGGGAATTCAGTATAGATTCTCTAAGAGCGAACTGAAATTAGAGAAATTATAGCTTACGAAAATGAATCTATATGTGCTTGAAACACATCAAAACTATATTTAGAAATTAAAACCAATGCTTACTGGCACTAGGTCTCCCACCAAAATACTGGCACTAGGCCGTCCACCTCCACTCTGTACACGTAACCAACAACCCCTAACTGCCATCCAAGAGTTTGAGTCGAGTTTCAGTCGTGGTCGAGAGCGGACGCTCGTGTTTTGCGGTCCCAGATTTTCAACTTTTAACTTTAACTGTGCCGTTTTCGGAACTCTTTTTGCATTTTTTTATGATCCGTGTCAGTGAATGACTGAATTTTCAGTGAAGTCAGTAAAATAGAGTGCAAATAGAAAAAAAGCCTATAGTAAAAGTGTTTCTCGGGTTCCAAAGGCCGGATCCCTTGTGAATCAAGTCACGAAAAGTTCAAGAATCGGCAACAGGCCATGGGCCTATTTCTTCAACGCCGACACTTCCTTTCTATTCTATTCTAAGACATTACGACGGGCTGATCCGCCAGGTCAGCAGACACCGGGGTCCACATCACTACCAGGCACAAGGGTCCAATTACGCTGGCGGGCTGACGCAGCCCGCACTAAATGTAGCTATCCTGAACTACGCTGGGTGGTGTAGTATGGCAAGACCAAACGGTTGTAGTTCTGGTCTTTTTCCGAGGCTTTATGGTTTTCAGCGCCTTGTAGTAGCAACGCCGCGTTAGAAGCTGAT